TATATATATATATATATATATATATATATATATATACGTGTGTGTGTGTTTACACTATTGGAAAGCACTATTTTGCCGGATATAACGTGTGAGATGACTAGATTATATCTTTTCTTCCTTTTAATTTTTTTTTTAAGAAGTTAAAGATTTTAATTGTTTTTTCATTATAATATTTCTTAGAAAATGAGTTTCTCTTTTTTTTCTTTTTCATTTCTTCTTTTTCTTGCATTTTGAAAAACCGATTGCGGATTTGAAGGCAGCAATTCGAAGGTATTTAAGAATTTTTTTCCTATAAAAAATATCAAGCAACAGAAAATTGTTGTTCCCCAGCAATATTAATAAATTTTTTAATTCACATAATCATTCCTTTGGTTATTGCTTACATGTCCTACATTTCCTCCAATTTTCTGCTAGGATAATAATTCTTATTAGTTTTCTACATATCTTTCAGGATGGAGAATTCAATTGGCCGCCTTCAATGCAAGCTCAAGTTCTGGGTTCATTCTATTACATATTCAGCCTAATGCAGATACCTGGTGGCAGATTCTCTGAGACATTCAGCGGAAAGTGGGTTTTTTTCATCGGACTCACGATCTCTCTGATACTTACACTACTCATTCCATTTTCAGCCTATAACAGCTTCCATCTTCTCATACTGGTCCGAATGCTGATGGGTGCAGCGCAGGTCAGGTACTATCAGAACTGTTATTTTCCTAGCATAAAATATTTATTTAATACCCTTGAATCCTCAAGAAAGCTAATAAAAATTAACCAAATCCCATATAAATTAAGTTCATTTAACATAATTAAAACAAAAAAAAAATATGTTAAAGTGTAGGGGAGAGGAAAGGAACTATAGTTTGTCTAAAGCTATAACTCCCCATGCTATTTGTCTGAACCCGTGGCGGTGACTATGGTAATGGTAACAAGGTCTAATTTTTCAGTAAGGAGCGAGGGGTAACTCTTAGGACAGGTTCAGACTTTGTGGCGGGAGGAGTTCTTACCGTAGACAAACTGTGATTTCTCTACCAATTGGGAAAATCAACTTCCGAAAGTAAATAAATAAACTCTTAAACTGAAAGATTATTTCGATAATAGAAATAATCTTTCAGAAGTTTATTCCGATTATTTAAATATTTATATTTAAGAGGGAACTCCAAAAGACGGGTATCATTCTGCCCTAGTGGTCCTTTGTTGATTGATATGGCAAATAAATATCATTGGGGAAATAATTTTTTGCTGTTTTGTTGCACGAGATTTTTAAACAGATAAAAGATATTTCAGAGTTGCTGATATTAGATCTGTAATCTCTACAAGCTGCATTTTTTTTAATGCAATTGAATAATATATTCCTAACCAGGATGTTTTAAAATTCACTTGAGTGAGTACTAAGTGTTTCCACTTTTCTGCTGCGTAAGGGGTGGTAGGAAGAAGTTGATCCTTTCAATTTAGGATGCAATACGTGAAGGTCATTTGCCTTTCGTCATAAGTGTTGTTTTCCAAAGAGCAGGCAAAGTGTTCGAGTATGTTTAAAAACCTACACCTTCAATACAAACTCATACATTCAGTCAAAATACATTATTTCGAGAAATATCTGTTCTTTATGAAACAAAATTAATTTCAAATTAGAAATCCCCATACCTGTATTGGATAAAATTAAATATTTGTGTAAATGCTACAAAAAATTTGTTCCCCATATGAGCATGGATAGATATAGATGAGTATTCCTTATATGAACAAGATATATTCCTTACTGAACAAGATATTTAATTTGTTGAAAAAAGTGTAAAAATATATGTTGTATCCAGATTTAGATTTTTTAAAAAAACCAAAGATATTGCAGAGCAACAGCCCTCGCTAAATTCTCGTCAGACATTCTTGGATGGCCCTCACTGGGAAAAATTTAAGAACGAGTTAAAGGAAGAACAAAAAAAATTATTATTTATACTACTCTCTATAGCTCGAAAATCTTGTTATATGAAAAAAATATATTCCCCTTAGCATTATATACCCACCTAATGTAAATGTAAAATCCTATGTCGAAATGTTTCTTCTCAAAACCTTGTTGTGTCGAATTTGTTTCGAAACAGAAAAGAAATTTTGTTTTGGTAAAATCCCAACCAAGGTTTATTGTCCACCAATTCTTTTCTATTTAATGCATCATTATTTTTTTCTTTCAAATTATCATTGTTGTATTCAGACTTATAATCAACTATCGTTCCATAAATATTTATTAGTAGTAGTTATTTTTGTGTTTTTCATGACTCTACTTTATAGAGAAATATTTTTCAATATATTTTTCGACTTTTTAGAGCACAATCAGTTCTGAACTTGTTATAGTTATCTCTGAAACTTACAATCGCGAAATTTTTTTAACGTCCCTTCAGCTTTGAGATATAGACAGCACTTATTTCTATCAATGAAAATGCATTTATAATTAAAGAACAACTATCTACGTTTCAAAAATAGTCAGCTTAATAGTTACAATTAAAGTGATATTATAATCTTTAAAATTGCCAATAGCCATCTGAAATTTGCCATCATTATTTATTTTCCCCCCAGATTAACGGAAAATCCCATTTTTCCAGCTCTCATTGATCTAAATAAATCATCTTCCCTAGTTAAAGTAAATTTAAATTACAATTTTAGTTAAAATATGCGTTGCATTATGAAAAAACAGCCTACTACAATAGTATTACATACTATTATGCCTGATTAATTTTTTAAAAATAGTGGTGGTCATAAAGATTATAAATTAAGTTTATAAATGCAAAGAATATACTGAAAGCACACATTTTACTACCACTTTAAATATAGAAATAAAACTTTAGGCCAAATGCGTGAATGTTGGCAGTTATGCATCTCTTAGACATTCACCTTCCTTTCACTCTATTTCTGGTTTCTTTGTTTCCTTCTTTATTCCATTATTAACATTATTTTACATTGTGAAATGTGCAATAAATAGAAAATACTAGAAATGGAGTAAATTTTGCAGGGTGTTTGTTTTCCTGCAATATTTAACCTCATGGGATTATGGTTTCCAAGCACAGAAAAGAGCCTTTTGCAGAATATCGTTATGAGTGGCATCAATGTGGGTATTTTCATAACAATGATAGTCACTGGATTTCTATGCAACTCGAAGATATTGGGAGGCTGGCCCTCTGTCTTTTATTTGACTGGTAAATCAATTTATCTATTCTTTTTCTTTATTTTTCTATTGTTGAACATTAGCAAACCGAAAAGTGTGCAAAAAAGGCTCTTATATCCGACTATAAAAGACTGCTAGAACTGCTACACTGCAGTATTTTAATTTATCTTATGCTCAATAGATGGCAGTACGTTATTAAATTCTATCAATTTTCATATTCTCGTAATCTATATAGTTAAATATTAACTAATATGAGAGCTAGAAGCTGTACATTTCTTACCTCTGATATATTGGAAAAATAATGCATTAACCAGAAGAAAAAAAATTATCTGACATTTTTCAGAAAAATGTTTTTTTTTTTTTTTTTTTTTTTTTATCAACGCGCATATATGATGGTTGATTACTTATCCTCAAAAACATTCTGAAATCAATTTAAAATTGAATCAGTTGTGTTCACATCAATTGTCTTCCAGAAGAAAGCCTTTTTTTTTTTCGAAAACTAAAAATAAGTATTTCCAGTTTCATAACAGCGTGCTCAATGACGCAATATTCTGAAAAACTAAGCAGCTTAACAACAATTTTTGAACTGGTTAGTCAAAGTTTTAAGGAAAAGAGATTTAAAAAACGAAAAGACGAAAATTGCCAATTTTAAATCTTAAAATTTATTTTCGTAAATAAAATTATAAAATATTTTTTTTACGTATTTATGAGATCAGCCAATATGTGTGTGTTTGGGTGTGGGTGTGTGAGAGAGTGAGTGTGTGTTAAAGAGAATTACCGAAATCTTGAGAATGTCAACTTTCACATAGTCACTTCGGTGAATGTCCGAAATATTTGTTATATACGATTTGAAAGTAATTTATTCATTTATGGTATTATATTTATTCGATATTCTAACATCTGCTGATGATAGATTAGGAGAAACATCAGTGCTCGAAGTACCGGTTAAATGCATACTGAGCAGTGGCACTTGAACTTAAGAAATATTGATGTAGGGTATACCGGGCAGTGGCACTTAACCTTAAAACAACATTGATGAAGGGCATACCGGGCAGTGGCACTTAACCTTAAAACAACATTGATGAAGGGCATACCGGACAGTGGCACTAAACCTTAAAACAACATTGATGAAGGGCATACCGGGCAGTGGCACTTAACCTTAAAAAACATTGATGCAGGGCATACCGGGCAGTGGCACTTAACCTTAAAACAACATTGATGAAGGGCATACCGGACAGTGGCACTAAACCTTAAAACAACATTGATGAAGGGCATACCGGACAGTGGCACTAAACCTTAAAACAACATTGATGAAGGGCATACCGGACAGTGGCACTAAACCTTAAAACAACATTGATGAAGGGCATACCGGACAGTGGCACTAAACCTTAAAACAACATTGATGAAGGGCATACCGGACAGTGGCACTAAACCTTAAAACAACATTGATGAAGGGCATACCGGNTATGTTGAGGTCGCGATGTATGTTTTTATTGCGGATAAACCATCTTGCTTTTGATATTTTCCTGAGGATTTTATTCTGGCATATTTTGAGTTTTTTAAGGAGTGATGTGGAGATGTTGCACAAAGCTGGAGATGCATAAGTTAGGATGGGACGGATCATCGAGAAGAAGAGTAAACGTTTAAGTCTGAGTTTCATTTTGTGGTTCTGAAGAAGGATTTGTAATCTGTGACAGGTTGCTTGTGCTTTGTTGATAACTGTTTTGACGCGATCTTTCCAATTAAAATTGCTCTTTTATAAAAGTAATTGAGAGAAATTTATCATATATATTCGAGAATTGAATCTGTAGTGGTTGACAAGTGAATAGGGTAAGCCAATAATATTCATAAAAAAAATAAAGTTTTAGTCATATATTTGCTACCACTTTCTTTTTTTAACTATATTATGTATTAAATGACTCGTTCGGTAAGTGGATATCCTTCACAGTGGTCTGATCGGACTACCTATAAAAAATCGTGTGGAGGCTTTCAGTTATAGGAGGCGTTGGCATACCGGGCAGTGGCACTTAACCTTAAAACAACATTGAAGGGCATACCGGGCAGTGAAACACAACTAGACCCAGTATATGTTTAGGGCATGTAGCAAAGCGACTTTATGATTGTCAACATTCACCGGTGGAAAACAACAGCCTACAGTTTTAGTCGTTCACAGTAACATAAATATAACACCCAAGTTTAACTTTATTTTTGTTTCTTTGTTTAAATTTGTGTTTCAGGATTGGTTGGGTTGTTATTTTGCTTGCTCTGGGTCTTCTTGGTAACAGACACACCTAAGGAACATCCTTTTATGTCGGAAGAGGAATTAGAATATATAACGAGCAATCAAAACGTTAATCAGGATTTAGAGGTATTGCATAATACTTGTGAACTTCATAATTTTTTTATACCAAATATACATGGGTGCGAACCTTGCCGGCTCCGAGAATGAGATGTAGGAATGTTATATTTTGCGAGCGTTTAAAAACTTTGTGGATTGAAACGTTAAAACATTAAAATTGATGAAAATTGCTTGAAATACAGGGCTGGCAACTACTACGCTTTCTTCTAAACGTCTTGTAAAGCGGTAGACAAATAAAAGCTAACATACATAAATGTTGGCAAACATTCCAATATTTTAACAGCGTCTTCTTACAAAACAAAGAATTATACATCAAAACATAAACTTAACCAACACTGGAAGAAATTTTTTCAAAAAAAGTAGAAAGTTGGCACCTTTAGAATAACACACCAGAGACAGCGTGGCTGCGAACTTTTTTGAAAGCATTTCTTTAAGGAATTGCAATGTAAAATTTAAAACATTTGTGAAACAAAAATATCAGAGAAACAAGAACAAAGAGCAGTCGTTCACTTGTCTTTTGGATAACGTAAGCATTTCTCTGATTGGCGTTGTTTCCAAAACCCAAGGAACCACTGGTTATATATTTACTTTCATTGTCCTGTAAATCGCAGATATCCGCTAAATTTTGCAATGAGATTTTACGTGTGTCTTGAATAAATATAGTTTGTCTTAAATATATAAAACTAAATTATAATAAATTTAAAAAAATTTCAATTGTTCCATAGTATATTTTCGCTTATTTTATCCTTCGTAGATATTTTTTAGAAGTTAAATTTACTGAAAGTTTTAAATTAAAATATTGTGGGCAATTTTTCCTTGGAAGTCAGAATAATGTTGCACACCAATGCTTTAAATTTTGCTGAAAGAGAAAGTCCCAAAACTGATTATTATCACGAAATTCCAATTTTTGAACCGAAAATCACAGAAGCCTAGAAATTATTTCTCTGTCTCTAATTGATGGAGCAGTTTACGAAATTTGTACAAGAAGTTTCAAACTGAGTAAAATAATTCTAGTTTACGGTTGTTACATTAGCAGAGATGCCAACTTGCTCCGGACGGAGAATAAATATTATAGAGTGGTAGTTTATTAATTATGATTCTTTGTTTAATAAATTCAATTTATTAGATTGTTATCTACCACTATTTCTAAGCAATCCGTAAGCTTATATATTTACCACTTTATCAAAGCAAAGTCATGTTTAATCTGTTAAAAAGTAAGCAAAATTAATCAAATATTTGCATATTTTAGTTTGTAGTTATTTACCGTTTTTAAAATTAAACTGGCGTGTCCGGAGCAGTTGGCATCTCTGCATTAATCTTAGTTTTTGCGTTTTGCGACGATTTTTCTTTTATTGTAATGACTTTGAAAGAAAGGAAAAAAATTTTAAATTATTTAAAATAATGGTATTTAAAACAAATTGAAACTACCACTTCAACAAATAAAAGTATGATAAGATATCCTTCAAAAATCCCAATGATAATTCGTTTGATTCCAAAATTGGTTACTTATTCTGCGAGGTATTTAATAGCAATAGGATTGCTCGTAATACCGTGTAAAATAATGAAAACAAACTCTGAGCACGGATCGAAACGCTATTCAGGTTTTCGAGAAGTTACATAATACTTGTGAGCATAATTTCTTTCCATGCTTACTATACATAGGCGCCAAACCTTGCTGGCTCCGCAATTTAGTTCAACACGTTCACGCCGGGGTGACCCACCGGTGGGTCACACTAGAATGTCTCATCTTGGCAGGGCACCGGAGTAAAAACTGGTAACAATAAATTTCATTTTTCAGTTTTTTTTCCGGGAATAATAAAAATCCATAACTACCAATTGTTTTTAACTGATGCAATTTTTATATTGAATTGCTTCTTCGCCGTGATAGATTTCCTTACAGTGAATTGTTATTGTTGAGAATAGATTAACTCCTCCAGAATATTATCTAATACTGAAATAGTTCTTCTATCAGTATTTTCTCTTTTCCCGGCGTGAATGCGTTAATCAGAGTTTGTGAAATCAAATTGAAGACTGTGATCAAAATATTTTTAATTTTTGCGAGCAGGTAAAAACTCCGTGGATTAAAACATTAAAATTTATATAAAATCCTCAAAATACAGGGCTGCCAACTACTACGCTCTTTACGAAATGTCTTATAAATTGATAGACCTATAAAAGCTAAAACTGCAAGATATTTTGACAAACATACCAACGTTTTAAAAGCCTCGCAGTGAGAAAGCTGGAACATAGAGACGTATCGCAAGATATTTTGATTCATTTACATGTAGTTTCTTGAAAAATTATTTAAAATCAAAATATGCTTGTAAGTTTGTTATTCTTATATCTTTCACAGCTACCATCCTTTCCTTGGAAAAGAGCCCTCAAGTCAAGACCTTTGTGGGCAGTTGTGATTGCGCAAATTGGAATTGATTGGTGCTACTATACGCTTCTCAATCATCTACCCCAGTTCTTTTACGATATTTTACATTTTGATCTCGAGTCGGTAAGTAAAATTGTTTGATTAAAAATATTCCATCAAGATTTTGAGTCGAAGTTGACAATAGTAATTTTATGCATATTATACTACCAACTATAAAATTACTTCTACTTTTGATGCAATTTATGATGACCGCTGAGGACATGATGAATGGGCAAAGACCATATTTGAAGCAGGTATCAAGATCCGTATGACTTGTACAGTCAGTAAAATCTGTCAAAATAAAAATAAAAAATCAATAACTGTAATTATTTATTTCCTCATTCCTCTATCGAGAATTCATGCGTGGAGAGAAGTTGACATGATCTACCGGATTGATTAGATTGATTGCATAATTAATTAGATTGATTGATTGATTAGATCAGTGGGTACCAACTGGCTGCCTGCGGGCCGCATCCGGCCCACGAAGCTTTTCTTTGTGGCCCGCGAACTAAAATATATAAGTCTTCATTTTTTGCTGACAATTTTTGTAAAAAATCTATTTGGGCTTAAAATACTTTTCTTCCGTTAAAAAAACTAATTTCTTCGTTTCTGTGGAACTTAACATACCAACGGTGCAAAATATTTTATTTCTCAGGTTTTGCATTCAAGAAAATGATTATTATTACTTGTAATTCAATACTTTTGTTTTGAACAGCTTGTTAAAAATCTGACAGTAATATTTAACGTTCCTTCAAATATAAAAGGGTCCTATGCAAAGTTTTGACAAAGTTGCGGGCCACCATTTGACTGGTGTTTTTAATTGTGGCCCTCGGCCTCATATAAGTTGGAAACACCTGGATTAGATTAATTAGGTCCACCGGAAAGTCCTGTTCTTGAAACTGCACACCTTATTTTACAATTATGTGACAGGTTGCTTTATTAGTAAAATAAAACTGGCAGGGTACTTTAATTCCCTTAAATTCAATGGTAACGTTCTAGATTAAAAGGGCGCATCATATACACAAATGTATCAACTGCTCCGCTTCAACTGCCTTTGCTTTCTGCAAAGTTTGAATCAATTCTACTAAAAGTTTCTTGAGCAGCGAATTGAATAGTAAAACTTGTAATATAAGGATAATTACACTTACTTTTTAAAAGAGTCGCGAAGAAACTAAGCGCAAAAAAATTGCATTTAATATGATACTTTGAATTTTCCATATATAGTGGCAGAAAAACTACTTAAAATAAAGAAAAACACTAAAAGTATCTTTAATTTCATTACCGCTAGAAAATATTTTTTTATTAATGCGAGTAGATAACCATTTCTATATACAATTGCGAAAAAAAAGCATGTGCATGCATATTGAAACTTTTAATGGAAGTATTAGACAGACTTAACTACAGTCAGGGCTGAAAGCCTATATATATTGAGAACGGAAAAGAGTAAAAACTGGTAACAAATAAATTTCATTTTTTAGTTTTTTTCCGGGAATAATGAAAATCCAAAACTACCAATTGTTTTTAACGGATGCAATTTTTATATTGAATTTCTTCTTCGCCGTGAAAAATTTCCTTACAGTGAATTGTTATTGTTGAGAATAGATTAACTCCTCCCGAATATTATCCAATATTGAAATAGTTCTTCTACCAGTATTTTCTCTTTTCCGTCCCGCTTTCAGCCCTGACTAAAGTGTATCTGATATATACATTAAAGGGTCAGTTTCTACCACTTCTCTCGTTTCTTATATATATAAGTATATATTTCTTTTCATGATTTATTACTTCGAGCGGAATTTTTCGATATACTTTTTATATAACACTTACAATTGTAGTGTCCTTAAACAGCATGATTTCTTGATCGGGATGATTCATAGATATAAAATGTATTTAGCAACATCACTTAAATGTATGAAATCTCAATTTTGCTTCACGCTCAAGTTTAATAACACAGTTATCAAAACGTTTAACACAAAATGTATAATTGAGTGAAATACTGTTGCGTATGGACATTTAATTACTTTTTATCGATTCCAATAATAACGATTGTGTTTTGCAGAACGGCTTGCTGTCCTCATTCCCATATTTACTGGAAGCAATGACAGGTGTGTTTAGTGGTTACATATCGGATGTAATTCTCAGAAGGAACCTTGTAACAGTTATATTCGCACGACGTTTTTTCAACACAGTAGGTATGTTTACGTTAGTACATGAACTGTTATTGACTTATTTTATATATGTGCAGTGCAGAAAAAAATAAACACTTCAGCTTAAATAAGTTGTGAGCTAATGATTGTGTCTTCACGTTCAACTCAATATTAATGATTCGTAGGGGTGACCTCAAATATGCAAATTAATTAGTGCAGATGTTATTTTAAGTTATGAAATCAGACATAAAAATGTACTTTCTTTAAATAAACGTATCTTTAAACTACGAATTTGCGATTTCTGAACCCAAAATACACCGCAATCTGTGAAACATGGTCCCAATAGTTAAATTAAGAGAGCGATCTAAAATTTGGACCTCTAAACGTTACTTTTAGTTTTTGCGCATTTCACCATATTCTCCAAAATTCTTGCGCAGTTCACCATTCGTTTATCCAAAGATAATTCCATACAAAATGAAACTTTCAGTAAACATTAATTTTCCTGATTATTTTATTCTATTTCAGTCGAAAATACTTGTAAGGTAAATAAATTTTTACATCATGTTAAAAGATTTCTTTTTTAAGACATTGCTGATCGGCAACTTTTCTCACTATTATGTGCCCGGATATTGTTCTGAAAGCGTATGTGGTAGTAAAACAATATAAATAAATTTTAAAAGCTTCTAATGCCGTAGGATACGAAGTATAACATCGACGACGACGATCTGGATTTGTTGAGGTGCCATCCCGCGCTAGCGGGCACTTGACCTCTTCATCTGTAGTTGTGCTCTAGAGCGACTGGTATTAATGGCATTGAAGAAAGATAAAAGGAGGAGTACAAGGCAGTTGGCGGCTTGAGATATCTGCGCGGGCAGCTCAAATCATGATTATTACAATTAAAATTAAGGATATGAACAATTGAATAACAGTAATAATGAGATTAAAAATATTTAAGTACAGGTAAGTACAAGTCTGGGAAAAAATTGAATAGAAAATAAACATTATTTACAAGTATTTACAATTATATACAGTTTGTATGCCTCTGCTGATACGACGACCCGGCCGTGCACAAGTTTTGCAAGTATATCAAGTTTCGTAAAGTTATAATAAAGTGGTAGATAATTAAATGGTAAAACTTGAAAAGTTATGAAAATTACGCCCACTTTTTTAAATAGTCACCGCGAGATCACTGCTAATGAAAACACGAGTTAACTCGTGACCGGTCACCAACGCTTGGCCACGTAAACACGAGTTAACTCGTGACCGGTCAGCAATGTGGTAAATGGCAAAATACAAGATTTGAGCGAAATCGTTAGTTTAGTTCCTGAGAAATCGAGTTGTAAATAAGTCGTATTTTTAAAATTATTCAGAGTGGTCAGTTTTTATTTTGCGCACTTTACCATTCTCCACAAAATAGGATATTTGTGTTGTACAAGGGGTTAACCCTGTGCACATCGAGTACTTTCTATTGCTGTTGAATCTAATATCAACTCTATAGCATTTAAAGTACACAATGTAGTATTATTATAAATTGTTGAAACTCTTAAAATAATGTGCTTACTAATTATTAAGTTATAAATTTCTTAATTCAAAAGTGATGACTGTCGATGGTGACTCAGTGGGTTCATCGGAGTGCAAAGAGTTAACATATTTAGGGGTCAGGAAAGTTATGTCGTTTCGGAGCATAAGATATTCGTTAGACTTAAAGTCATTTCATTCGTCAGTTATTTTTTCGATCCATTTCTATTCATTTTCGATCCGGCATTGAAAGGTTGTTGCTAACGAGGGTGAATAAACTATTGATTAAAAATAATCTCTTGATAAGAAATATCAAATGCACTGAAAGGACATTACTTTTCGGTCCCCCAAATAGATGATTTCATTATTTAGAGCTATGTGCACTATATGTTAGGTTTTGACGCATTAATTCTTGACCACAAAAATATCAACATTTATTTGCTTTTACTGATAAGATATTTCTTCTTATCTCTTTAGTCTTGAAAATGATTTATAATTCAAATATTAAAGTTGATGTTTTTAAAGTATTATGGTAGACCGAATTATTCCGTCCAAAAAAATTTTTTTCTTTGGAAAAGTTGAACCGTTCTTTTGAAAGGACGCTACGAATTAATGGGTCAGTTTTGGTTTTGAAACATACTTAATTCGCATGCAGGCCTGCCTACTTTCAACGCTTTATGTAAAAATTTATCCTAGTGATAATTAAATTTATGTTTTAATGTATTGTTTTTTATTTATTTAAGCTAATTTTCCACACCACCACCCAAAAATGATTTAAAAGTTCATATACAACACTAATATGATCCTGCTTGCTCGCGGTGAGGATTTTTAAATGTTGACAAAATTACCAAAAATTCTGAAGGGTTTGGTTTCTAAATATAATATTTTGCTATAAACATTGTAGTTGGCTGGCATGTATAGGTATGAAAATACAGAACTGCCAACTACTATGCTTTTTTCAAAATATATGGTGAGAGATAATTAAGAGTGGCAGATAACTAAAATTTAAAGCTTTCAGATTTTTTTGGCAATTTTGCAAATATTTTAAAAGTGCGATCACTTAAGCGCTGCATTAAAGTTGTGTCTCATATAAACTTTTGAATAAAAATTAATATGTAACGCCACTTTGTTCCAGCTCTCTCGTTTTGACGCTTTTAAAATGTTGGTAAAATAACCAAACATTTTGAAAGCTTTGATTTATAAATGTCTACCACTGAATAAAATATTTGGCAAAAAACGTAGTAGTTGACAGGCACGTAGTAGTTGACAAACGTAGTAGTTGACAGCAGGTATCATTTAGAAATTGTACTTCCCTTTCTTCAATTCAGCTGCTGTGGGATCTTCCATTGGCTTAACTTTAGTGATGATTTCTGGATGTAATGTTGTGCCTCACATAGTACTGTTTGCTTTGGTAATGGCCATTTCTGGATTCTGCTACAGTGGCTACCTTATAAATGTCATGGATTTGTCACCGGAGTATGCGGGTGAGAAAAAGAATAAGTTTTAAACATTCTAAAATAATAGTTTTTTTAATAGTTATCAAAGCAAATGGCTTTGGTTTAATATAATTTTAATTATTTTTTTAAAAGAAAATTTTGTAATTTATTTATAAACCACAACGCTTTACTATAACGTCATTGAACAGTACTTTATTTTTATATATATATTTTATTTATCATACGTGTCCCTTTTACATATTTATTTCTAACACTCTAATTACAAGTAAAAATGTAGTTTGGTATTTTTTAATGTATAAAAAACAGTCTAATGGTAGCCATATAAAATATGCTAGAAATTTAAAACATTCTAAGTAAAATTTTAAAAAAAAATTAAAACATAGCGAGTTTTTTTAAGAGTTATCAAAGCCTGATACACTTGTCCGGTATCCCTTTCGCCGAAGTTGTGAAAGTTAAGTGTCGCTGTCCGTCACACACTTGCCGAGTATTCCTTACACGGATGATTTTTTTTTGTTGAAAATGAATGTTATTTTCCGGCGCTATATAAGCGTTATTGTCTGGTATTCTCAGAACTTGCGTTTTTCATAACCTATCCTTATCGGAAATTAAAATAAAAATTAACATCAAATCGAACAAAACAAAGTTTTTAATCATTAATCAAAGCGAGTATGTGATTGTTGACCTTTACCGGTGAAAGTTGACATATTCTAGATTGCGGTTATACGCGGTAACATATATATACCTTCAAACAACGACACAATTATCATAGTTTAAAAAAATATGTTAGTATATCTTTATTTTGACATGTATTTAAAATATTCTTACGATAAATTATCTTCTCTAGCACAAAAAAAAATTTTTTGCGCTAGCCAAGTTAATTTATTGTTTTAATAAAAAAAGAATTTTGGTCACCAGTACACAGAAATTATTTATACTGATACATAAAATGCCAGGATAGTTAATGTTTCTGTACGTCAGTACTCTTAAAAGCCTTAAAATATTTCTATTGGTTTAAAATTCTTACTTTAGCACACTACCACGGGAAAAAATATTTTGCCCGACCTCCATTGTAAAAGAGTTTGAGTATGTCGTAAATAATATTGTTGCAAAACTATTTACGTTGCTTATAACACAATGAGTTACATTAAATAGATTTTTACACCTTAGAAAGGACAGCGCAGAACAGGGATAGTACAAACATGTAATAACATTGACAAACAATTGAAGTCCTTGTCCTAATGTTTTAATTTCACAGGACACCTGGGCCGCAAAGCGGCCCCTATCCCATTCATCGTGGAACTTTCGCACTATTTTGGTTGAAAATTGAGGTAAGCAGGCAGTGGGTTAGCTTCTGTGAATGCTTCAAGCACTTTGCTTGAATAACNCCTCACCGCCCCGTCAAGGCAGGAACACCATCGGGAGGAATCTGTGAATAGCTTCTGTGAATGCTTCAAGCACTTTGCTTGAATAACTAAAGAGGAATCAAAAATAAAATGAGCAGCTCGCACTAAACTATGTTTGTTTGAAGTTGTTCTGAGTTGTGTCAGCATGAGGAAACGTTATTTTTTAGAAGGGTTGATATAGTTATCTGTTTTGATAGTTATGATATGAGTTGTCGGAGGTGAAACGGGCAGTTGTTGGTCTGCAGGTTTTATTTTTGTTATAATTTTCAAATTTAAAGATTTCCTTAAAATTTGTTATTTTACATTCTATGGATTTATCGAAAAAATATGCGTTTAGTTGGTATATATAGAGTTGTTATTTTGATGTCTCCATGTATATTGGAATTCCAGATGAATCATCTTGCACTGGTTATTTTTCTAAGGATCTTGTTTTGGCATTGGTTAAATTTTTTCAGTTGATGCTGAGGTATTGTTGTCCAGGCAGGTGAATATTGGGCGGATCATTGCTGTATATAGTAGCTTCTTTAGCTTAAGTAACATATTCTGATTATATATCAATGGTTGTAGGGCTATTATTGCTGCATTTGCGCTATTTATTGTGCTTTTGATATGATCATTCCAGGTGAGTTTTCTATTGATTATAAGGCCAAGATAATTTGCTTTCTTTGCTGTTGGTATTGAGATATTGAACATTTTTGGTTGAAGTTGTGGAACTATTTCAATTCTTCTTTTTTGTATGATTAATATTTGTGATTTTCCAGCGTTGACTGCAGTTTTCCATTTTAAGCACCAGTCTTCTATTTTGTATAGATGGTCCTGTAGTTTTCGCAAAGCAAGATTTAGGTTTCTGGGTTTAATAATAATACCAGTGTGATCTGTGTAATAGGCTGTTATGCAATTATAATCGGCATATTTTTCGTTTTTAATTTTCACTTTAAATGTTCTATTAGAAAGGTAGCAGTATATATAGGGTCCTGTAGTTTTCGCAAAGCAAGATTTAGGTTTCTGGGTTTAATAATAATACCAGTGTGATCTGTGTAATAGGCTGTTATGCAATTATAATCGGCATCTTTTTCGTTTTTAATTTTCACTTGAAATGTTCTATTAGAAAGGTAACAGGATAGGGCTTTGATTATGCCGGATGGAAAGTTTAGCTGAATGATTTTATATATTGTGCCAGTGCGCCATACTTTATCAAATACTTTGGATATATCATCAGGAAAGGCATTGTTTCTTTATTTATGATTGTTCTGCTAGTATAGTCTGTTACTCGGAGTAACTGTTTGATGGTATCTAGTTTTTGTAGGAATCCATACTGCTTGTTGGGGAGGGCTGTAAGTAGTGATTTTATTCTGCTGTGGCAGATTTTTTCGTATATTTTTCCAAGTGTGTTATGTAGACTGATTGAGTGATAACTCTCAGGACAGCAAAGGGGCGTATAACCTTTGAATTATTTAGAAGTTGTAGTATGTAAAAATCCTATAAATCGAATTTATTAAACCAAGAATCAAACATTAAAAAATTGCCACTCGAAAATATTTTTCCACTGTCGGAAGTAAGCTGGCATCGCTGCTAATATTTTGAGTGTTTCATACTAGATCCGTTCTTTTCAGTGCCTCGAGCTAGTCTCATTCTTGTGAGTGTTTCGTCTCTCGTCTTTTTTGAGGATCTTACAGTACCCCATTATTTTAAATGCCTTATTGGCCATAACTGCTCACATGTTGCAGAACCTATGTGAGCTTTGCCTTTTTTTGGTGCTTCCACTTTTCAGGAATTGTTTTTGACAGCTTTGAGGTTTTAGAAATTAATCCTATTTTTCTTTTTAAATTTTAAAATAGTGTAGTTAAATGCAAAAAAACTATTTTATAATAAATGTTTATAATAAAGTTATTTACTTTTATTAGGTACTATAATGGGAATAATGAATACTGCATCATGTTTGGGAGGGTTCATAACATCTGCCGTTGTTGGATCTTTGACTGAGCCCGAGGTAAACTCTTTTCATAAATATATTTTTTTCCCGGCAAGTTACTAAATTTTTACGAAACATGTACTCTATATCTCAATTAATAATATTTAAAAAATTTTATTGACAGAAAAAAGCAATATTTTTAATTTGGGGTAAAAATGTTTTTTTTATATTTGTGTAATCCGAGGATAAGCGATGGAAAAATAACGAAATGAAAGAGTTCATATAAATTGAAATTTCATAGTTTGCACAGGTGACTAAGAATAAAGATATACCCGAATAACGTAGGATGAAATCAAAGGAATTTCAGGAACTGAAATGAAATTTCCTTTTGAAAAATCTGAATTTTTTTAAGGATCATTCCATGCCTTTATTTTTTTTCCAAATATTTTACAACATTGTTATCTTTAGAATGTTACAGCACTTGTCGCTGTTAATACACAAATATTTTTAGTTTTACTCTGAGGTCGTGGTATCCTAATGGTTAAAGAATTGGACTCAGGTTCAGAAAGGCCTAGAGTCAATCTGACTCCAGGACTCTCCGACTCCATTAAGATCACACGATCGTAAAATGTGCAAGTCCTGTGGTCCGCTGAGGAGTACCATAGGTATACGGATCTGGAAAAAATTTCCTTCCCCATCAGATCTAAGTCGAAATTGAGTAAGCGTCTTCATGAATGAGTGTTGCTGCCATCTACTGGTAGGGTTGTGAGCCACGGCGTACTTTCACCCTCGCGGTATTATCTTGTCAAGCGAAAGGCGCATCTTCTTAATTCGCAAAAGGCCAATGGCTGATGAACTTGGATTTTTCAAGTGTCAGATGAAACAACAAAGGCAACAGTTTTAGTCTTAAACAGTAGCTAAAAACACTAAAAAATATGAAAGCGAATTAAGAAATTTAATCTTTCTATAGATCTCTAGTTTATAATAGCGCACTTGATTGCACTGAAATGTGTTGAAAAAAGACAAAAATTCAATTTAAGCAGAAAAACAACCATATATTCTTTGAATATGAGTGAAAGAGTTGCGCACAATGCTAAACACATTGCTAAAATGAGACTGTAGGCCATAAAATTGATGAGCCTTCTTCTCCATTACCCTCTTGGCCCACAACGGGTATTCGCGGGAATACTTCACTTATTTATTCATAGAATATGAACGAATGGAATTCATAGCATCCGCAAATAGAAATTCACATTTGAAATAATGTTTTTAGTTCAGCGGTGAAGAGTTGATATATTGGGGATAGTTTGGACAATCAGAAAATCACACCACAGTTAACCCTTTAACGGGTCCTTTATTTCTAGTAAAGGTAAATTAATGTATTTTTGGAATTGAAATTGTTTTAAGAACAGTAATTGATATAAAAAAACTCATTTAGTTTATAAAAATACCATTTTTTTTGTTGTAAATATATTTAACATGACTTATTAGGAGCTTACTGACTTTTATTTTTCTTTATTTATGAAATAAATTCCTTAAATGCTACAAACTTCAAAAGGAATTATGTATTTTATAACTTTTATACGTTTTATAAAAGTGACAAATGGTTACCAATTTTATTCAAACTCACTTCAGGAAAGCTGAAGTTATTGAAAAATGGAAACCTAAATTAAAAGTAGTAAAACGTGGTGGTAAGTATACTTACCACGGCCTTCAAAAGGGTTAAGTGGAAGAAATCATCGTCATAATCTGATCAAATCCTTATGAATTCTCTTTTTTAAATTCTCAATTTAACGCCTGTTTAATCTGCTAGCACTCGGTGTCACGTTTATCGAAACAGTTTCTTATTTCAAAAACATATCGCTGGTTCAAAACTAAAACGACACTTCTGCACTAACTTCTCATGTTATTTCAATGAGAAGTGAGTGCAGAAACGTCGTTTCAGTTTTGAACCAGCGATATATTGCGGTAAGATAATTGTTTCAGTTTTTTTTTCATTTGTACAGGAGACCTAAAAGATTATCTTCCATTACTCGTTAATGGTTTAGTCTTCTTTGACTAGATCTAGAACTATAAGGAGTTGACATTTTTTGATATGAAATGCTGACTAACAGCACTAATTAATATTTACTGTACCACTTAGTTTATCATGCATTAAGCCATTTTTTTTATATCACTTCAACATAAAAAATTGAAACGAAATTGGTTCTGAGGACGCTGTACTTCTGGAGAATTTTTTTTTTACCTACATTGGAAATTCAGGATTTAAAGAATTGGATGGAAAAAAAGGAATTTAGGTAAATCCAGAGTAAACCGTGAAGACTGAAATGCTTAAATTATTTTTCAAAATGCTAAAATGCGGACAAATCATGACAGGATTACTTTCCTTGTTGCGTAATCCTAAGTTATCCTGCAATAGTTTGATTGCATTTTGATATTTTGAAAAGTAAAGTCAAAATTTGAAACTTTTCTATGCTTTAAATTTAAACTTTTTTATTTATGTAAAGCAAAACTGATTTCCTATTAGTTTTCTCGAATGGTTTCTCTAATGTTATCTCAAATGTTTTCAGAATACTATGCATCAGTGGGGCTATGTTTTCATAATCAACATTGTTATGCTTCTGATCAGCAGTGCTTTCTACCTGATTTTTTCCTCTGCCGACAAACAGATGTGGCATCTGCCTAGAGAAGAGGTCAGAAGCGAATCCATTTCTCCGACATCATCTCCGCTGGGATCACCCAATCAGCCCTCTGGAACAACAACATAAAAGACAAATAATCTGCAAAATAAGAAACTGCAATGGAAAAAACTTTAAATAATACTTTCAAAAACGATACAACGATTCTCAATAAATTGCTGTATTAAAAACTCTATTATTTGCATAGTTTTTGCTAAAAACAGTACGTTTAGGTTTGTTTTCATTGACAAGACTTTTTTCATTATTTACAAGGGGAGATCAAAGGAAAAGGTACGAAACGACACGGTGGGTACAAATGTAGACCTCATTTAAAATATACACCATAGGCCTGAGCACAACGATCCCACTGATGAACAAGCCGCAGGATTCCTTTTCCCAGAATTCCTGCGGCTGTGACGAGACCCAGTCCTTCACAGCATCCTTGAGTACGTCGTCCGAGCTGAAGAGCTTCTCTTTCAGGTGTTTCTTCAGTGAACCAAACACATGGAAATCGCAAGGTGACATGTCCAGACTGTAGAACGGATGGTCCAACGTGTCCCACTTGAACAGTTCCATGTGTGTGACTTTGGAGACGTGTGGACGGGCGTTATCATGGAGCAGAACCACACCCTCCGTGAGCAGCTCAGTCTTTTGTTCTTGATGGACCTGCGCAGGCGACAGAGTGTCTCACAGTACACATCGGAGTTAATGGTTTTTCTGTGCTCGATGAAATCGGAAAACACCACGCTGCTCCTCAATCGTCGAATTTTGCAACGCGAAAGCCATCCTGTCCTCATACAGACTGCCGCATCATTTGGACGCCGCTTTTGATAAGAGCCTCTGCTCTCTCCTGCTCATGCGGGCACCCGCGCATGCTCCGATCCCAGTCAGACTCCAATCGCATCCCGAGACGTCTCGCTACGTTCTCCCATGGCGGAACAAGCAAATATTTAACTGTTACGTCGTTTCGTACCTTTTCATTTGATCACTCCTTGTAATTGCATACAGATCGTGATATGTGGACCTAAAAATTAGGGGGACCGGAAACAATTGTCGTTTATTAATTAAAAATAAAGTCTTGATAACAAATATGAAATGCACCGAAACGACATTACTTTCCGGTCTCCCTAATAAAATGCAACTTGTGTGTATGAAGCAGCAATTGATTATTTTGGGATTTCAGTAATGATTATTAGAAGGACTGAGTAGATAAAGGTAAGAAAATATAGATATTTAAGTTTTTGTTATATTACGGTGGATATGAATTTCTTTTATAGCCAAGAAAATCTCATGAATGAAATTATTGAGGTACCAGTCTTTTAATTATAGAAAAACTTCACGCGAATTTTTTTGCTTAAGAGTGTTATTTACCAATTACGGTATGTAGCTGCTGACGAACCTTCACATTTCAAAAACTGAAACGCCTCACTAAAATGAACTAATGAACTAAGTCTTCATGATCACCATAAAATGCGATTCAAATATTATTAAAAAATATTTAAAATAAAAGCTGGTAAAAAATTTCTACCATAAAATATTAGATTATTTTTCCTGTATTGTTAAACATTTTTTTCCAACGCCCGCCTGGGTAATGACCTAGGTCATACCGGTACCTGAAGGGCAGATTTGTTGGCCACTCTTTCAGGGGCACCATATTAAGTGGGGCAACGTTGCTTCTACAGTAAGGACAGATAGTACAGAGAAGGAAAGAACATCCATGCCTTGCCTCGGATGCGAACCCAGAACCTTTCTGATGCAAGGGCAGTTCCCTAACCCCTACACAGTCGTGACCTTCGAGACACAGCCCCGTCAGCTGTGTTGTGAAACATTATTTTATCATTGCAACTGCTAGATTAAATACAAATTTTTATTTAAAAGTTGCATTAAGCACTTGAACAAATTTATATTAAGAAGTAAAATTATTTCTTTTTTCGCTGATGGATAGAAAAAACTCTTCTTTTTTCTATCCATCAGCGTTGGCAGTCAATTTATAAGTGTCTAAAATAATTGTTTACTAATGGCAGTGATGGTACTAGCGAATAAGAATTGTAAAAGTGCTTCAAACTCAATTCATTTTTTCATCATCTCTAATTATTCATTTGTAACTACCGACACGTTTCAAACTATCGACGGTAAATGTTTAAATCAAAACTTTCTTTGCGCAATTAACTATACGATACTTGCTACAAACTGTTGATGACATAAAGCTCTTTTAAACTGTGTATTGCTTTTTTATTGGTTAACACTTTTTATATATTAAGGCGAGCGTATTATCCTTGTGTATATATTGCTGGCATAACAAATTATTGAGAACAGTAAATAGATATATTTTCTATAATTTAAATACTTGCTCTGATTAATGAGAAAATGTTTTCTAGTGGCGGTTACACGGATGGTTTGTTGTGCAATTTTCGGTATAGCAATTTTAAAATATAGTGATTTAGACCACCGCCACAAATGATTTAAACTTATATGTTAAATAATACATAGTTTCAGTGAGGTGAGGCTATTAACCTTTTCCAATGCGGTGTCGCGCGAATTCAACTAATATTGCAAACTACTAGATATGTAAAACTACCTTCTTAAATTTTAGCGACCAACATTCTTTAAGCAACAAAAAGTTAAGGTACTTTTATAACCGTCGTTGAACAGCTGACCCAATTTTTGTGTTTGTGACTACTAATGTTCAACTCCGTAGCATTGTAATTTTGAACCCAATCCAGAAGACAAGGGAACTCCTGGATCAACTATTAGGAGAAATTTTACATCGTGGAAGTATGTGTAATTACCCCTTATCTGTGTTGCTTGGAGAGGAAAACCTCCCATGGCTAGCCTAACGGCAAGAGGACTCTAACCCATGATTCGTTTACCACTGATGATATTTCAGGTCTGCACTGTGGTTGGTGCAAGCCGGATGGAAGTCGTATAGACCAACCGTCACTGGTATTTGAACCCGGTTCAATTAAGTGGAAGGCGAACGCTCTATCCCCTGAGCCAAGAGTTGAGGTATTTTATTTTATTATCGACGTTGAACAGCCGACCCAATTGTTGGGTTTACGACTAAAAATGTTCAACTCAGTAAACTTGTAATATTAACCATTCCAGAAGTCAAGGAAACACTTGGATCCGTGCCCCCAGAGGCATGATTTGTTATGAGAACATGCAGGACTTTGAGACTCGACAGATTTAACGTGCATCAGTCACTATTTACTACACGGGGAGTCTTCGGCTCGCGAGGATCGAACTCACGACCTCTTGGATATGGGCCCAAGTGCCCTAACAACCAGGATATCCCAGCCAAGAGCTGAGGTATGGCGCTTCAAATAGAATGCACTGTCTATGGCCACACTTGCTAAAATACTAAAAATTTTAATCGAAATTGTATAGAAAGTTGCCGGGATAGCCTGGTTAGTAAGGTTACTGAGCCCATGTTTAAGATGTTGTGAGTTCGATACCCTCCGATCGAATACTCCCCGTGTAGTCATTGATGACTGATACAAGTAAAATCTGTCGGGTCTCAAAGTCCTCCATGTTCTAATACCAAATAAAAACCTCTTGGGGTACTGAGTTATAGATTGATCGTTCTCTGATCCAGGTCAAAATTACGATATGTTGATGAATGATTGGGTCCACCCTTTAAACGCGCTATGACGAGTGGTTGGCTAAAGGCGTATTCTCAGCTATAAATGGCACCACCACTGAAAAATATTAAACGCAGACTCTGCCTTAAATTCATTTGGTTTCACAAAGCAGGGTTCCTGATATTGGTAAGTGCCATTAGAAGCAACAACAACAAGGTTAGTTTCAGGTTATACTACTGTATAAAATATTTTTCGGAAGCCATTACATACTCTACCAGATTTTGCGGACCATTTTATTTTTATATTTAATTAGGTATTAAAATTTTTGCTTTCATGCTTGATTCCTGATTTAACTCTTTACTGAAAAGCAAATTTTAGTTTTGATGTTAGCAGGCGCGACCTTAAACATTTTTTTATTTTATTTCCAATGAGTTGCACAAGTGCGCACACATGAGCAGACCTAGTGCTTCTCCAGAAGTGGTATCCACTCTTTCAGGACCACCACAATGGGTGAGATACCGTTGGCCATGCTAATTTGGACGACTAGTTTCTGCCACACTAGATGGCAGCACCGAGACTTTTATTTGGAAGCTAAATTGCACTAGGAATTTAAATTTGCCGGAAATGCCAAGAGCCAATAAAGCACTCCAGGAATCTTTTACATGCCGCATAATCATACGACATGGCAGCTGAGGATTTTCTGCATCCCGAAAATCTGGTGTCTGGGCCGGGGACTTGAACCCGCAGACTTGGGCTCAGAAAGCCGACGACAGACCAACTGCACCACCCATCCATTCTTAAACATTATATTCTAAATTAAGTGACACACTCTTTGTTGTTTAAAGAATAGTGCTTGCTAAAAGTTTCAAAGCATGTATACTTTTACATTTCCAGTGACTTGCAAGACTTGTTGAATTAGTGTTTATCAGACTGGCGACACTGAACCGGAAAGGGTGAACAAGTTGATTTCATTAAATTTTAACTACCATTACATTTATCTAGTTTAAATATTCATTTTAAAGGATCAATAAGCTGTTTTTTATGTTTTAAACGATGGTAAAAAACTAATTAAGTAATTGTGTAATTACTACTAGGAAAATATTTTTTTAAAGAACGTAAATGTTCTCATCCTTCATGTCAAGAAAATAGTGTTCTTTGTGAAAGCATTTTTCATACCAATAAAACTGTTACGTTTACATCTCATCGGCAAGGAAGGGATAAATACATGGGTGAAAGCCCTTATATAGCAAGACGGAAAGGAGAAATACCTGGTACGTAAAACATTTCATTCCAGCATTTTTTTCGAAAAAAATGAAATATGTGTAACTATCAAGATTTCTTTTATAATTCTGGTATATATATAAAACTGCTTCTTTTCCAAGATAAGGTAGATATTGTTGGAAAAATAAAAAAAAAAGAATAAGTAAACTCCTCACCAAAACAAGCTATAACTGAAATGGTTTTACTACCAGCCTTTCCTCTTTTCCGTCTCGCTTTCACCCCTGGATAAATAAATTTT